ACCACCTTTAAACTATGGGTCATTTCACACTATTGTGCTTGCAGTATTTCTCAAGCTCAGGCAATATTAAGCAAGCTCCTTTTCTGAGGTCACCGTCAGTAAAACAAGATGCTTGATAAAATGACTTCTAGCTGTATGTTTGGTTCTGTAAAAATATACAGAACTTCTGTATAATTTAATGTTCACTGTATAAGTACTTATTCTTTGTTTCCTCAGCAAACCAGGAAGTCTTAAATAAAGTAGAGGTTCAGTATGAGACATTCCCAGGATGGGACACAGACATATCAAATGCAAGAACATTTGATGAACTGCCTGTAAATGCACAGAACTATGTTCGCTTTATAGAAATGGAGCTTGGCATTCCTGGTAAGTAAAGCAAACTTTCCTGCTTCAAGAAACCTATCTGAAATAGAAATAACTTAAATTTAACTCCCTTGACCTTCAGATGCTAAAAATAACTTAATGAGCACCCAGAGTGCTCGAATAAGCTTTAAAGTGACTCTTTTGTACTTGGACATTTTAATGCTGAGCCTCATTTTAGCTGCAGAATCTAAAAGATCAACCTTTAAAATGTTTTCAGTATATATGTGTAGTCTAAATTTGCAGTGCTGGGTTATCATAATTTGCCAACTGATTTTGAGTACTGACATGCACACTGTTCTGTTTGCATGTTTGTTTTAAAAAACAACACTTGTTTGCAATAGGAAAAATCCTATTTGTAGGACTTGGAAAACAGAAAAGCTGAATGCAATATTTGATTAGTCACTCTTATTATACTAGTAAGGATTCAGTGCTGCCACCCTTATGTTTAATTATCAATATTTTCTTCTGTGAGTAGTCTATTGACTTCATTGGGACTTACTCAGAAGTAAGACACTAAATCAGCCTAAGGAGGGCAGCATATTGTCCTAAACTAGTACTGAATTATTTACTCTGAGAAAAGATGGTTTTAGGATCAAAGGATAGGACTAGACACTGGGAGATGGGAGTTGTATTCCTGGTTCTGTTACAGAATGTTACTTTTCAGCAAATCACTTAACTTCTATATGCTTAGTTTCCCCTCTGTAAAACTGATATTTCCATATTTTAGAAGGGTTTTGAGAATTTATTATTTTAGGCCATTCTCCATTTGAAGTCAGTGGCTCAAGGTCAGGCACTTGAGTGCTTCAGGATCTGTGAATGTGGTGCTGCTACAGAAATGCAAAATGTCATTCTCTAATAGCAATTATCAATTCTATCAGTGCAACATATTCTTCTACATCGGCCATAGAACTTTTTTTTTTTTTTTTTCCTTTACCAGAATGTCATGCTTTGAGTTTGAATTCCTCTATGGTAAAACAGTGCAAACTATTTTGTTATCCTTTCCTTTTTTGCAGTTAAATGGATTGGAGTAGGGAAATCCAGAGAGTCAATGATCCACATGTTTTAAAGATTTCAGATGCGTGGAAGAAAGCACACTCCTCAATAAGACTGCTTAGTCTTACATGTATTATTAGTAGCCTACAAAGTGAAGATGTTGGAAGGATAGATCTTGCATGGAAAGAAATGCTAGAGTTGGTCTCCCAAACTGATTGCTACTCCTGAAAGACTTTGACCTCTACCTATATCAGCTCTCTATCCAACTGGCAATATCTCCAGGACACTTGCCATTACTGTTATACATGGTGCCACCAGACTTTTCTTTATCATCTAGTATTTACTTCATAACATAATCCTTGATGTTTGAAAATGGAAGGTAACATTATTTTCCTGACTTTGTCTTGATTGTCATATCCATGCTTCTGGCGGTGTTACTTCCCTGAAATCTTAACCAGTAAAAATAATGCAGTTTTGCACAAATGGTTTTACATCCTCATTATTTGTACTCCTAAATATGTTGTATTCTTTATGGCTGCTGTTGTAGTGAGTGATTAAAGAGGGATTCTGATGATTTTATAATGCTATAAACATTGTCTAAACTCTGTGTGAGATGGTTTTTGTTCAAAAAAAAGTTGTGATTTGAGTTGTTGGGAGTGTGCAAGGGGCTCTTAAGACAAGTTTACAGAAAATGTGCAAAAAACTAAATTTGATATTGTATAAAGTTATGAACTATTCTGATTTAATTTTTTTAAATATTAATTTTAAAACAATTTTCTGCACTTCTCTACTTTGAGTGCATATTAAAGTAAAGTAAATCTCTTGCTAATTAGAAGGAATCATGTTTATTCATATGTTTAAAGTTTTAATCTTTAGGTGCAACTTTAAATTTCTTCTGTGTCAATAATTAGAACTGTTTTTGACTTCACAACTAGGCAAAGGCACTGTAGAAATTATAAAAGGAAAACTATTAGGGCTGTCAAGTGATTAAAAAGATTAATCGTGCGATTAAAGTTAATCGTGCTTAATAGTGATAAACAGAATACCATTTATCAATATTTTTGGATTTTTTCAAATATTGATTTCAATTACAACACAATACAAAGTGTGCAGTGCTCACTTTGGTTTTATTATAATTGCACTGAAATGAATTGAAATACTAGTTTATTTTTAAAGTACTGTAGTGTGATCTCTTTATCATGAAAGTTGAACTTATAAATGTAGAATTAGGTACAAAAAAAAAAAAACTGCATTCAAAAATAACACTGAAACTTCAGAGCCTACAAGTCTACTCCGCCCTACTTCTTGTTCAGTCAGTTGCTAAGACTAACATGTTTGTTTACATTTGCAGGAGATAATGCTGCCTACTACTTATTTACAATGTCACCTGTAAGTGAGAATAGGCATTCGCATGGCACTGTTGTAGCTGGCGTCAGAAGATATTTACGTGCCAGATGCGCTAAAGATTCATATGTCCCTTCATGTTTCAACCACCATTCCAGAGAACATGTGTCCATGTTTATGATGGGTTCTGCTCGATAACAATCCAAAGCAGTGCAGTCCAACGCATGTTCATTTTCATCATTTGAGTCAATGTCACCAGCAGAAGGTTGATTCTCTTTTTTGGTGGTTCAGGTTCTGTAGTTTCCGCATCAGAGTGTTGCTCTTTTAAGACTTTTGAAAGCATGCTCCACACCCCGTCCCTCTGATTTTGGAAGGCACTTCAAATTCTTAAAGCTTGAGTAGAGTTCTGTAGCTATCTTTAGAAATCTCAACATTGGTACCTTCCATGCGTTTTGTCAAATCTGCAGTGAAAGCGTTCTTAAAACAAATAACGTGCTGGATCATCCAAGACTGCTATAACATGAAATATATGGCAGAATGTGGGTAAAACACAGAGCAGGAGACATACAATTCTCCCCCAAGGAATTCAGTCAAATTTAATTAACGCATTCTTTTTTTAATGAGCATCTTCAGCATGGAAGCATGTCCCCTGGAACAGTGGCCAAATCATGAAGGGGCATACGAATGTTTAACATATCTGGCACATAAATACCTTGCACCATCAGCTACAACAGTGCCATGAGAGTGCCTATTCTCACTTTCAGGTGACATTGTAAATAAGAAGCAGGCAGCATTATCTCCTGCAAATGTAAACAAACATGTTTGTCTTAGTGATTGGCTGAACAAGAAGTAGGACTGAGTGGACTAGTAGGCTCTAAAGTTTTACATTGTTTTATTTTTGAGTGCAGTTATGTAATAAAAATCTAGATTTGTAAGTTGCACTTTCACAATAGAGACTGTACTATGGCCTCTTGTTTCCTCATCTTACTTGAGAAGCAAAAAGCCTTGCCTCCTTAAACTGCTGTAAACTTTACTGCCATACAAGTATTTTCTGCAGTGCAGAGGAATGAAGTCTTTACTCAAACTTTAGCCCTGCAGATTGAATTAAACCATCCTGTAAAAGTTAGTGGGAGTTGAAACACTTGTTTTTAGTCTAAATGAATTTCATTTTGGGGAAGGAGGAAGAATTTTGAGACCGTAAATGTTATTGCAACTGATTTCACAAGAGGAGGCAACTGACCGCACAAGGACGCAGTGGTGTACATGCCCAGAGGCAGAAAGATACATGCCTAGAGACTTTTTACTGCCAAAAAAAAGCTTGGTTTTTTTTTTTTTTTGTTAAGGGCCAAGTGAGTTTAGGTACCTAGAGGGTTTCAGCAGGAGACTTGTGTATTTCTGTGTTCCCAAAACTGACACTTAAGTGCCTAGCTCCTTTTGTGCATTCAGGCCAGTGCTGCCAGAGAAGGTTGCAGTGGAGCTGTATTGAGCAGCCATCCATCTAGAAATCCCTGACTGCTGCTGGACTAAGCAATGTGGGGGTTAGGCAGGATTTGGAGGCCTTCTCTCCAGCAAACTCAGCTGCTAAAGCCCCTCTTGTGGGAATGTTGTAGAAAAAAATCTCCCATGTTCACTTCTATTTTCCTGCAGCTTTGGCCCCCTCCCTTGAGCTGTTTCATAGGAGAATGGGGTAAGTGGGCCCTATATTAAGCTTTCCATTGCTTCTTACAGCAGCTGAACTGGTAGGTGCGTAATGTTAGATTTCAGGAGTATCATGTATTGCAACAAAGCTCCCGCTTTGGTGGAAGAATTTATTTTTTTTAATAAAATGGCTGATTGTCTTTATTTTACAACCTTTGAGGTTTCTTCAACTGCCAGCACACAGCCAGTGCTGTTACTTGTCACAGCCATGTGGGACAGGGAAGGACTCCTAGAGGCCTTGGGTGCTGGGGATGCTCCCCACTAATACCAGGGGTGGTTGCTGGGGAGTGGTCTCTGCAATTGTCCTCCCCATGGATAGACTATTCTCCCCTTGATGTAACTAAATAAGATTACTATATTCCCAAAATGCACAGCTAACAAGAACATGTACTGGGAATTAAGTATCTCAATTCCTAACTGTTGATTCCATTGTATAAAGTAATCCATATATTCAGAGCTAAAACTTGATTAAAGTTTCCAAGCAGCATCACTAACACAAACTACACTGTAAAATGATACAGTATAGCTTAACAGAAGCAGACTTCTGAAAGTCTCATGTAAATGGGATTAACTTCAATGGGTTGCTTTTATTTTCTTAAAGCTCAGCTGAAATACTTCTCTCTCACAAGCAAGGGCAGGTTATACTTTTTTGGATCAGCAATGCTTCTCCAGATTGTCAGTGGTCCAGGATCAGTTCTTGGTGTGTATTTATCCTCATCACGGTCTGGAATTAAAAACAGAGCATTTTTCCTCTCTTAATCCATGTGATCTGAATTTAGGAATACTGTATTTTTAAAGCTTTCCTGTTGCCCTTATGATTCCCAGCCTCTTTTCCTGGAGTCTCCCCCAAAGATGAGCTTTTGGAGTAGCATGTCACCACAACCTGTCCTGTACTGTCCATGTGTGTGTTTGTTTTGGGGAGAGGGGTTAGCCTTTTTATTTTTTTAATTCATTTTTGCTCTCCTTCCCATTCTTTATGTGGATAGTGCTTGGGATATGGGTGTCCATTGGTCACGCTGCAAGGCTAGAATTTGTTCTCTCAACTGAGCTGAATATTGTGAAAGCAGAATTGCACAGCTTGGTTGGCAAGCTGCTTTCTATGCTTGTAGCCCTATATGCATGAGCTATTCTTGTGACTAACTGTACTAAGGAACACCACAAGAGCAAGAATGGAAAGTAGATTTCCAGGAACTACCTGCAGCGTTGGTCACAGCAGCATATTTGCAGTGATATGTTTAAGTACAGGGAGGATCATGCAACTTTCCTTTTAAAAAAAAAAAAAAAAACACACCACACTCTTCTCTGCATCTTTATGGTGTTGTTCTCCCCTCAACGAGCCTACTCCAGTGGGGGAAATCCTCCTAAAGCATCTTTTAGTCCACAATAAGCAAGCTGCAGCAAGAGGGAGATGTTGAAGATGTGGTTTCTTTTTTTTCTTTTTTTTTTTTTAATTATTAAAGCCAGCCACCAGCCCAACACTGTTTGCCAAGAGCATTGGTAAGTAGGCAAGATGTTACTGTAAGGTAAAAGGAAGGGTTCACTTTCTGCCAGTTATTAAGTGGGCACTTTATGGAGGTAGGGTACCAGTGTACATCGATCAGTTTGTCAGGTCACACTTACCCTGAGAAGTTTTACCAATTATCTGCAAAAAAAAAGTTGAATGATTCCAACTTGTTGGGTGCAGAAGACAAATTGGGCTTTTGGGTGCAGGCCTTTAGCAGGTATCAAGAGGTCCTGTGTTTCTTCTTCTGAAGCCAGAAAAATTCTTTGGGGGAAACTGTAGAGGTTTTTATACTCAAGTAAACTTTAATAAAAGGACTTAACAGTTTTTTATAGTTAAAATGGAGAAAATAAGGCCTTGATTTGAAAGTCAGCAACTTCTGTAATATTTTCTCTAATCAAATCAAAGAAAAAACCTAGAGTAAAGGAAGGAGGGAGAGCATATGCACACTTCTAGTTTTCACTATACTTGAGTGCAGTAGGAGGCCTTTGGGTGTGAGCCTATGCCTCCTATCCTGTTTGAATAGCACAATGTGGATGCTAGAAGAAATCGATAACTTGTCTACCCTCATTCTCTGAGCTATTACTGCTCCCACTTAAACTTGCCAGCTGCCTGTTTCCAGCAGCCATATTAACACTGCTCCTTGCTTCATGCGGCTTTGCACTATCTGGCTGCTCTTATGGTTTCATTTTGTTAGGAATCATGTAGGACAAAAGAAAGAATATTATCTCCATATGACTCTGCAGCTGGAATTCAAATTGAAACAACAATTATCCAAATCAGAACTGGGCCATGATACTGGGCTGTTGAGGCTCACAAAAGGCACAGCAAATTCAAAGTTGTTGGCCAGTGCTTATCAAAAGCACCCTTTAGAGGTTGTCTGTCGGGGGGGGGGAGGGGGGCTCCTTCCCATGGGAGCTGGTCTGTACCACAAGAGGGGACCTTCAATCTCATAGCTTCTTTCTAAAAACAAACAATTATAGTAAATGTCTTTCCCTGGATACTTAAGTTGTTTTCGTGCCAGAATGTTCCCCAGTACTGGCTTTGGGGCATAGTTAGTTATTTATCCATAATTCTAAACCAAATTAAGCACATTTACTGCATAATAAAGTTGGACAAAAAACACCTTAAAAACTGGAAAGCTCTCTCCCAGGCTGCCCCTCATAGTTGGGAGAAGCTCCTCATATACAGCCACAAAGCTAACTCCCTTAAAACCCTCCTTAACACTCTCCTTTGCTATGAAGCCTACCAAAAACTTGACAAGGGCTAGGCCACTGAGACCATTCCTGTCATGCAGCTCAATATTGCATTATTGTTCCCTTGTATTCCCCCTGGTTCTATCAGTTTCCAGCACTTGTCTGTTATACTTAGATCGTAGGTTCTTTGGGTCAGGGACTGTCTTTTTGTTCTGGGTTTTTACAGTACCTAGCATAACAGGGTCCTGGTCCATGACTAGGGTTTCTCAGTGCCATGATAATACAAATAAAGATTAAATTAAAAAAAATATATAACTACTACACACAGACTGGAAGTGTGACCAACTACTTTGTACTTGCTAAATTCAGTACAGGACTCTCCTTATTTGAAATGTGTCTTGTCTTCTGTCAGATATCCCAGAATGAATCAACATGCTCATAGGTTGCATATTACACAGCTTTAAGTGGACTAGATCAGATCAAGTGTGTCTTAGTAATGTGTTTACTTCGAATAACTTAGAAACCTAAAATTATATCTAATTGGAGTGCATTTGAGCAGCTGTTGTATACAGATTGAAATCTATACATGTGATTTGCTGTGTTCCAGTTCATTGGTTGCCTTCTGCCTACCTCTTTGGAACAGGACATACATTTTGTCTCTTCTTTACCTAGTGTAGACAGGACGTCTAAGTTTTTCCCGATCATAAAATGGGGACAACACTTTTCTCTCACAGGGATGCTGTAAGGATTAGTTAATCCATTTGAATATGTTAAACATTTTCTAAGGGCTATAGACTAGGGCAGTAGTTCCCAAACTGGGGTTCGTGAAATGTTACAGGGGGTTATCGGGAAAAAAAAATTCCCTAATGGCGGACAGAGCTGTCCTTAGGGACCCTGGGCAGCACGGGACCAGCAGCCTCTGAGCCCCGGGACTTCCAAGAGCTAAGCAGATCAAAGCAAGCACATCTACCACACTGAGGAGATTTAAACTTCAAGACTCCTTATAAGAAATGGAAAGGAAGGTGGATATTTTTTGCTGTTTTTAAAATTAAATAGGCAGCTAGTATTGTTTTTAAAATTATTATGAAGAACAAGTTTAAGCTTTGTTGTAACGTGTGTTGTTTGCTTGAACTGCTCAAGACCTGAATGCTTGTATAAGAGGAACTCAGAGTTGGCTTCTTAGATACCTTCATGCTGTTTCACATCTGATACTTCTTGATGAAACATAGGAGCCTTGTCTTAGAACAGGCTTATTCAAAGTTATACAAGCTACGAAAGTGAGATCTTGGAAGAGAGTGTTGCTGTTTTCATAATGTAATAAAAATACTGTAATGATAAATAATTAATAATAAATAGTGTGTAATAAGCATGTCATAAAAACAAATTTTATATTTCCAAGATCACTGCTTTTATAATTTATACTCAGGTAAAGGAGAAAATCCCTGGAAATATTCTTTTTTAGGAGGAGGTTCGCGAGACTTGACATTTTGGTGAAAGGGGTTCACAGGTTGTTAAAGTTTGGGAACCACTGGACTAGGGTGAGTCTTCCTAGCAAAAGACAAGATTTACATTGCTAGTAAAGCTTACTTACCCATATTGTAAAATGGCAGTGCAAATTCTTCTTTGTACGTGGTTTGCTTGTACCAATCATTCATTGCCTTCTTCATTGTCCCTTGAAAAAGGACATGCCCCTGAAGAGTTAAATTATCAAAGTCATGTTGGTACTGAGTTTCAACTTCATGCTGTACTGGAGCTGGGTGCAGTTTTATGAAAGGTCTAAATGAAAGGCATAAATAGTTTTGTAATCTCATGCTGACACATGGTATGTGACTAGCACTGACTAACCATAAGGGTAGCCAACATAAATGTTCTTTCTAATCTCCTGCTGAAATAGAGCACTCAGTATAATGCAGTTATAATCTAATAGGTATTAACAGCTTGACTACATACAGTAAAGCCTTCATAATTTAGTATTGTTCAATTAGCTTCACCACACTTTTGAAACTAGGGACTGGGTCTGCGAATATTGCAGTTAACCAGTGCATTCATTAATTCTGCTGTAAAAAAAACCTGTTATACTTCAATAAAAAATTCTGCTTTGTTTAGTACCCTGGTTAGCAATCTCAGTTGAGAAGCTAAGGATTAAAAGTGCTGGTAAAATGAAGAATCATCTGTACTTTCTAGCAGCTTTCATTCAGGATTCCCAAACACTAGTTATGAACTAACAACGAACACACACACACACACACTCACTCTCTCTCTCTCTCCCCCCCCCCCCCCCCCTTCCCTTCCCCCCCCCCCCCCCCCTTCCTCCTGTGCTTTGACCCATAGACCATTTCCTCTCGTCCTGGGTTCTCCTTATTCTCACATGTCAAGGTTGAAAAGGAATATCTGCAGGGCACCACAGGAAGGGACTACCACTCCCCATAGTGAACTTAAAATGATAAGAATTTCAGAATAAGGTTCTCTTAGGAAAAGTTGTATAAAGCTATTCTCTTACCCTGGAGCTATTTCAGGCATGCATGCCTTATGTACCCGTCCTAGTTGCCCAGGATAGAACCCTTGAATGTCCTTTCCTTGGCGAATAACGGTGCTAGTAAATAACACACAAAATAAGTGGCGTTGCAGGCAGGAGAGTAGATATAAGAAACGTATTAAAGAGACAAGTATCAGGGGGTAGCCGTGTTAGTCTGTATCTACAAAAACAACAAGGAGTCTGGTGGCACCTTAAAGACTAACAGATGCCATCAGACTCCTTGTTGTTTTTATTAAAGAGACAGAATTTCTTGACCTGAGAGTTACAACAATGAAAGCTATCAGCAGACATTCCGCCCCACACATTACATTTCATTAGGAAATAAAGCATAAACTGAATCAGTTTGCAAACTGCTTTATCCCATCTTGTAGCACAAAAGGTAGTATGTAGAGTAACTGCAGGACTTATGATATGGGAGTAGCTGGAAACACGGAAGCTGAATCAGGACAGGGTTTGACTTGAGGTGCAGTGGGGACAAGGTAAAATTTTCAAAGGTACCTACGTTGTTAATAACTAATTGTGAGACAAGGTGGGTAATCTTTTTGGTGAAAGAAGCCTTCAAGCTTACACAGAGCTCTTCAAGCTTGGAGTGTCACAGCTAAACAGAAGGTTGAACAGATTGTTAAGTGTAAGGAGTTACTACAAGATGCAAGAGACCATTCAAAATGATGTGGGCAATTAACACTTCTGCAGTTGTAGGACAAAGGAGGATTGCAGATTGTGGTAATAAGCCATAAATCCAGTGCCTTGGAGTCCATGATTTTTAGTGTTTGGCAAAGTTCTGAATTTAAGCCTCCTGGGCTCATCTTTTGTGGGTGTTGTGCAGGTTTCCTTTGAGAATGAGTATCCAAGGGGTCAGATATAGAGTGATTACTTTGTGGGGAAAAAAGTGTTCATTCACAGGGGATGGTGTTTTTGTCTTGTCATTTTTCAGTGTGCACATAGGTGCTGGAACAAGAGCTGCTGCGGGTGCAGCAGCACCCCATTGCTTGAAGTGATTTCCATCATATACAGGCTCTCAGCACCCCCACTATACAAATTGTTCCAGCAGCCCTGTGTGTGTGTGTCATTTGAGAATGTAGCAATTGTCTTGTTTCACCCACATACTTATAACTTGGGCATGTCGTGCCCAAGATGAGATACACCACATGTTGTGATAGGCATGTGTAGGACCCATGGATCTTGAAAGATGTGTTTCACTTAATCTGTTCCACCTTGTATTTAGCTGAGACACTGAGTACTTTTCTCAGACCTGTAAAAGCTCCGTGAAGCTCAAAAGCTTGTCTCTCTCACCAATAGAAGCTGGTCCAATAAAAGGTATTACCTCACCCACCTTAGCTCACTAATATCCTGGGACCAACATGACTACACCAACATTGCAAATATCTTCTGCCAGAAAGTGTGTGTGTGGTTCCCCCACCAGCAGGATAGCTAACTTTTGTTAATTATCTCACTATAAAATGCTAGTGGAGACAACAAACAGGTAGTTTTTAACCTTAATGTAGCTGGGTGAGGTCAACCCAATAGATGCTTTTGAAAATGTTACCCAAAGTGGCTGGTAAGAAGAGAGAGGGTGGGGAGTAGAATAGGCGAGGGGGAAGAAAAGAACGACATTTTGTATTAAAAAAAAATCAATGCCTGGCAAGTTTTACCCAAGATAAAGTAACGTTTTTCTATATGCAGATCATAACAGAATGACTGGATTCCGTGGTCCCACCCTGTTAGCTGGTGGTGTTTGATTCCTTGTATGTTTAATTCCAGACAGGACATAAAGGAGGTGGGAGTAGTCTGCTTGGCAGATGAATCTAAGACTGAGTAATTCTAAACAAGGACAGTTTTGATTGTGCATTGCACGTACGGACTGTATTTAGGAACATACTTGAAGGAATATAATAGAATTTGTTAATTGTGAAGTCTTACATGAAACTCGCACTGAAATTAATGGCTTAAAACTAAAAATCTGCAGATACAGTATTTAACTTGCAAACAGACTCAATGCTTTTACTTGTAAAATGTGTGTTGGGCAAGCTATTTTGACAAAGATCCTTTCCTAAACCACAAGACGTTTTATACAGAATATTTGTACCATTGTTAGGGTTGCCAACTGTCTAATTGCACAAACCCAATCACCCTTGCCCTGCCCCCCTCCCTGAGGTCACACCCCTGCCTGCCCCTTCATTGAAGAGACACCCCTGTTCACTCCATCCCCATCTCTCCATCGCTCACTCTCCCCTACCCACACCGGGGTGGGGCAGGGAGTTGGGGTGGGGGTGCAGGCTCTGGGAGGGGGCTCAAGGATGGGGCAGGAGGAGGTTTGGGCTCCGGGCGGGCAGCGCTTACCTCTGGCTGTTGCCAGAAGTGACCGGCACATCCCTCTGGCTCCTAGGCAGAGGGGTGGCCGGGCAGGTCTGTGTGCTGCCCCTGCCTGCAGGCACCACGCCTGCAGGCACCACCCCCACAGCTCCCATTGGTTGCAATTCCTGGCCAATGGGAGCTGTGGAGATGGCGCTTGGGGTGGGGGCAGTGCATGGAGACCCCCTGGCCATCCTACACTTAGGAGCCAGACATGCCAGCCACTTCTGGGAGCTGCGCAGAGCCAGGGCAGGTAGGGAGCCTGCCTTAGCCCCGCTGACCAGACTTTTGGCCTATTAAAATCTCCTGGATTGATCTGAATAGCCACGGGGAGATTGAGGTTGATTTCGGGAGACTCCAGGACAATCCGGGAGGGTTGGCAACCCTACCCATGGTTGATCACTGACATCCTGATGTTTTTGCCCATGTGACTTTTCTGTGTCCAGATACTTTACCCTGGAGGGAGGTAGGGTGTAGGATCTATAAATTGACGTAGTCTGATGGCTGTGCACGACATGGAAAAATCCTGGAGAAGATCATAAAATATTAGATTCTTAAGGAGCTTTTAAAATATTTGAATTATTTACCTTGAAAGCAAATTGTTTTAATCTTTGTTAGATCACAAAAAATTGAAATCGAGACATTGGAAGAAAAGGCATAATTCGGCATTGTCTGGAAATATCTGGAGGAAAAATAGGATACTGAAGAACAAAAGCCAAGGCTAGCAAGTAAAGGAATGGTTTTTAAAATGTTGGGCTTGTTTTAATAACACAAAAGATCTTCCCTGGTATCGTTCTAGGATGCTTTCCTGGACTACCCAGGTAGAGAGTCTCACTACCACATGCCCTTAGCATGAGGAAGTCTTATCTGTGCCTGCCAGGAGTCAGCTCCCTGACTCCACTAGGCACAAGCAACACAAGCACTCACCTTTCAAGCTCGACTGTCCTTTTGCAGATTAGCGATATAGTCCACCCCACAACCCCAAGTCCTCTGGGCAGCCCCCAAGTGCCCAGCCCCTTGTCCCGTGGACACTCACAGAATTACCAGATCCTCTGCTCACAAAGAAACAGTATACCTCAGCTTACCAGTTACATCAAAGGACAGACAGGGGGAAAAGGGAGGTGGTGTTGCCTTGTATATCAGAGGTATACACTTGCACTGAGGATGAGCTGGAAATAGGAGACAGACTTGTTCAAAGTCCTTGGGTGGGAATAAAAAACAATGGTGATGTTATGGGTCTACTATAGACCACCTAACCAAGAAGAATAGGTGAATGAGGCTTTTAAAAACTACTAACAATCATCCAAAGCACAGGACTTGGGTGGGGAAAGAGGCGGAAGGAGACTACCCAGACATCTGTTGGGAAAATACAGCACAGATTATCCAACTAGTTCTTGACGTGCATTAGAGACTTTTTTATTTCAGAAGGTGGAGAAAGCAACTAGGGGAGAGGCTGTTTTAGATTTGATTTTGAGAAACAGGGAGGAATTGCTTGAGACTTTGAAAGTGAGGTGAAAGTGATCATGAAATGAGGAGTTCATGATTCTAAGGGATGGTAGGAGGGAAAACAGCAGAATAAAGAATGGATTCAAGAAGACAGACTAGAAAACTCATGGAGTTGGTAGGTAAGAAGATACCATGGGAAGCAAGTCTAAAGAGAAAAACAGTTGAGAGACGTGGCAGTTTTTCAGAGACATTAAGGGCACAAAAACAGAACCATCCCCCAACGTAGGAAAGACTGGAAGTACAGCAAGAGACCACTCTAACTTAACCAAGAGATCTTCAAATGATCTGAAGCTCAAAAAAAGTTCTACAAAAAGTGAAAACTAGGTCAAATTACAAAAAGGCTGAATATAGAATATAATGACCATATTAGGTCAGACCAATGGTCCATCTAGCCCAGTATCCTGTCTTCCGACAGTGACCAATGCCAGGTGCTTCAGAGGGAATGAACAGGCAATCGAGTGATCCATCCCCTGTCATCCACTCCCAGCTTCTGGCAATCAGAGGCCTAATGACACCCAGAGCATAGGGTTGCATCCCTGACCATCTTAGCTAATAGCCATTGATAGACCTATCCTCCATGAACTTATCTAGTTCTTTTGTGAACCTCATTATACAGTTTTGGCCTTCACAACATCCCCTGGCAACAAATTCAGCTGTGTTGTGTGAAGAAGTACTTCCTTTTGTTTTCAAACCTGCTGCCTATTAATTTCATTGGGTGACTTCTAGTTCTTGCATTATGTAAAGGAGTAAATAACACTTTTTCTCCACACCAGTCACAATTTTAGAGAAGTCTATCATATCCCTCAGTCTTTTTCAAGCTGAAAAAATCCCAGTCTTTTTAATCTCTCCTCATACACAAGCTGTTCCATGCCCTCAATCACTGTTGTTGCCCTTCTCTGTACCTTTTCCAATTTTAATATATTTTGAGATGGGTTGACCAGAATTCTATATAGTATTCAAGATGTGGGTGTACCATGGATTTATATAGTGGTATTATATTTTCTGTCTTATTATCTATCCCTTTCCTAATGGTGCCTAACATTGTTAGCTTTTGACTGCTACTGCACATTGAGTGGATTTTTCAGAGAACTGTTCACAATAACTCAAAGATCTCTTTCTGAAGTGGTAACAGCTAAATTAGATCCCATCATTTTGTATGTATAGTTGGGGTTATGTTTTCCAATGGGCATTATTTTACACATAAAAAGTCAACACAATCAGGTAGGGACAAGTTTAGGAAGGCCAAGACACAAAATGAGATTAAACTAGCTAGAGTCAAAGGGTAACAAGGAAACATGAGTGGGGAAAGAACAGAAAATTTGGAAGTGGCAGAAGTGCTGAATACCTTTGTTTTCACCAAAAAGATTGTTAGTGATCACGTCTAAGATAGTTAACAGTGAAAATGAAGTAGGATCTGAATCTAAAATAGGGAAAGAACAAGTAAAAATTACTTAGACAAGTAAGAGGTCTTCAAATAGTCAGGGCCTGATGAAATAGCTCCTTGAGTATTCTAGGAAGTAACTGAGAAGATATCTGAGCCATTAGCAATTGTCTTGAAAAACTTATGGAAGACAGCAAATCTAGTGCCAGTCTAAAAAAAGGGAAATAAGGACAACCTGGGTAATTAGACCAGTCAGCTTAACTTCAGTACCTGGAAAGATAATGGAGCAAATCAAGCAATTTGCAAACACCTAGAAGATAATAAGGTGATAAGTAACAGTCAACATGTGTTTGTCAAGAACAAATCATGTCAAACCAACTTAATAGCTTTGACAGGGTAATAAGCCTTATGGATAGGGGGCAAGGGGGGTGCATAACTGGTTGGAAGACTATTCCCAGAGAGTGATCAGTGGTTCACAGTCAAGCTGGAAGGGCACATCAAGTGGGGTTCCACGTGGATCTGTCCTGGATCTGGTTCTGTTCAATATCTAAATCATTTATGAAAATAATGGCATAAAGAGTAAACTTAAAGTTTGTGGACAATACTAAGCTGGGAGGGGGTTGCAAGTGCTTAGAGGACAGGATTAAAATTCAAAATGATTGACAAACTGGAGAAATGGGTGGAAGTAAATAGGATGAAATTTGATAAGGACAAATGCAAGGTACTTCACTTAGGAAGGAACAATCACTTGCACATGCAAAATGAGAAATGACTGCCTAGAAAGAATTACTATGGAAAGGAATGTGAGCATTATAGTGGATCACAAGCTAAATGGCTCAATGTAACATTGTTGTGGGGGGAAGCGCAAACATCATTCTGGGATGTATTAGCAGGAGTTCTGTAAGTAAGACAAGTAATTCTTCCGTTCTATTCTGCACGGATATGGCCTCAACTGGAATATTGTGTCCAGTTCTGGGTGCCTCATTTCAGGAAAGATGTGGACAAATTGGAGAAAGTCCAGAGAAGAGCAACAAAGATGATTAAAGGTCTTGAAAACATGACTTATGAGGAAAGATTGAAAAAATTGGGTTTGTTTAGTCTGGAGAAAAGACTGGGGGGAAGACATAAGTTGTGAAATACATAAGAGGTTGTTACAAGGAGGAAGGAGAAAAATTGTTCTCATTAACCTCTGAGGATAGGACAAGAAGCAATGGGTTTAAATTGCAGCAAGGGCGGTTTAGGTTGGGCATTAGGAAATACTTCTTAATGGTCAGGGTAGTTAAGCACCGGAACAAATTGCCTAAGGAGATTGTGGAATCTGTCACTGGAGGTTTTCAAGAACAGGTTAGACAAACATCTGTCAGGAATGGTTTAGTTATTACTTAGCCCTGCCTTGAGTGCAGGGGTCTGAACTAGATGACCTATTGAGGTCCCTTCCAGGCCTATACTTCTACGATTCTATGATCTCTGTGATGGGTGCTAGCCTGCAAAAAGCTGGAAAGGAGACTTGGGGTAAAAAACCATCTTGAACAAAGACTATCTTTCTAGATTAAGTTTTAGATGGATGTTTTCACTTTCATTTGCTTGTAACCATCTCTACCTTTCTTTTACTTGATATCACTTAGTACCATGGTTCCCACCCATAGGCACCAACTTCCCCTCTCCCCGATGAGTGCTTGACCGGCCCTGCCCCTGGCCCCGCCCCTGTCCTGCCTCTTCCTGCCCCTGCCCCCATTCCACCCCTTCCCCTCCCCCCAAGTCCCTGCCCCTTCTCCGCCTCCTCCCCTGAGCACGCCACCTCCCCACTCCTCCCCATCCCTCCAGAAAAGTCCTAAGCGCCACCAAACAGCTGTTAGGCATCAGGGGAGCGGGAAGCGCTGGGAGGGGCGGGGACATGGCACCCTTGGGGGGGGGAGGAGGTGAGGCAGGGGCGGGGGGCTTGGCTGCTGGTGGGTGCCGAGCACCTGCTAATCTTTCCCTGTGGGTGCTCCAGCCCCAGAGCACCCACGGAGTCAGTGCCTATGCCCCCCCTTTCTGTGTCTGTAGTAGTTTACACCCATTCCCCTCTGGGTGCCCAGTCAGCAGCTGCTGCTGCTCTGCCCAGCTCTGAATGTGTGCAGTAAGGTTTCTCCCCCACTAAAAGCTTCTCACACATCCCCAGAATACATTCTGCATGCCCCCAAGTTTGAGAACCTCTGACTTAATACATGCTTTTTTGTTAATAAACTGGTTTTATTTTTACTATAATCCAATTCTGTGGTGTGTGTGAAGGGAAGGGTGTATTTACCGCCGTTAAATTAATACGCTGTGATATACTGAGTCTTTAACAGAGCAGCAAACTTCATACCTTCTATAAATGCACAGTGGTAGGGGTTGGGCACTCCAGAGAAACATCAGAGGAGCTCCGGGGCTGGAGTTCATGGATTATTACCTGCTAGGCAAGGCTTGGGCTGGAAGAGCCTTGAGGAGTTTGCTGGTGAGGAAGACAGACTTGTGTGGCAGGGAGCTCTCACATTCTAATCACCAGCAAAATCTATGCTTGCTAAGGTAGAGAGGTAAAATAGCTCTGGGTAACCCCAGCAGCATGTTACAGCCTTCCATGGCACTCTCTTGTGAACAAATATTTAAAT